TCTAGTGTTATAAGTCCGCAGACACACCGCTGTACTACTGGGGGGGCAGGTACAATACTCACCAATAAATATTTTTCAAAACGTATACTTTTTGGAAACAAACTAGCGTACTAAAAATATAGGTATTGAATAAGCTGCTGTGATAAGAGTTCAGAATCAATCAGAGAAAAACAAAACACGTATACTCAAACACATTATATCATCAAATAATCCTATGATAAATCGAAGCTTTAGTACTTATACTGTAAATTTGCATAACAAATCATTTTAGGGAATCTGAAAACACAAAACAAAAACAAAAAATCCATTCAATCCTATATTGAATTGGCTAATGATATAATGTTAACTTCGACTTTATTGTGAATATTAACTAATACAGGAAATTATATGAGCATATTGTACATTTTAATCTTAAAAAAACTCCTTTTCTACATGAATCGGTTTATGTATATAATAAAAATAACATTTCTCAAACTGGCGAACTTAGGGGGGAAGCAGCAGGGTTAAGCAGATATAATTAGTCCCAACTTAAAGTCCATTGTGGAACAAATGAAATTATTGCTTTTTGTACCTAAGGTTCGTCTGATAATATACAGTCCTAACTCGTAACGGCCTTCTTGTAAGATACGTTAACATTTTAGAAACTCACGCTTTCCTTATATACGTATACAAAGCAGAGGGATCAGGAAAGATACTTTTTTAACGTGAGTAAAACTAAATGAATATTTTCTATTGTGAATTTTCATTTAAGTATTTGTCAGCTTTTTATGTAAACTGTTCATCTTTTTCAGAAATCTATTGAGCAAACGTAAAAAAGACGTATGTTTGATACCAAAAAATGACTAGTCCATCAGCATATCGATATCGTTATTAAATGTGGAAACCTTATCTGATATGATTTCGAGAAGGCTGAGGGATTGAAAATGAAAGTTACCAGGGTGATCAATGTTTAGTTGATTACATTTCAAATACTGTGTTTTTTCTCTCCTTAACAATTTATAGTTAAATGATATTCATGGTTAATTAAAGAACTGAGGTCCAAACAATGTCGTTGCATTACTTTTAATAGATAGCTGTCTTAGTGATAGAAGCCTGATTGCATGTAATCTACTTTATGAATTTTTCTTCCACTAATAGACTCGATTCTTTAACGCTTAGTGAACATTTTGCTCCAGTAGCTATAGTGGTTCAATCGTTTTCATATGCCCAAGTAGTAAATGATTGGTATTTGAAAGTTTAAATTTCCAAGTTACAATTGACTCTGTACCACGATATTCCTCTGTTCCAATGTTCTTCTTAGGCCTATCAATAGAAGGAAATTTCAAATCATTGCGATGGAGGTTGACGAGTGCCATGTAGTTAATACATGCCTCACAAGAATGGGGGTTGATGAGTGCCATGTAGTTAATACATGCCTCACAAAACTACATAGCACTCATCAACCCCCATTCAATACATGCCTCACAAGAATGGAGGTTGATGAGTGTCATGTAGTTAATACATGCCTCACAAGAATGGAGGTAGATGAGTGCCATGTAGTTAATACATGCCTCACAAGAATGGGGGTTGATGAGTGCCATGTAGTTAATACATGCCTCACAAGAATGAAGGATGATGAGGGCTATGTAGTTAATACATGCCTCACAAGAATGAAGGTTGATAAGTGCTATGTAGTTAATACATGTCTCACAAGAATGGAGGTTAATGAGTGTCATGTAGTTAATACATATCTTACAAAGAATATTGCGCATTTTTTCTGTGTTTTTACAGACAATTATTGCACACTTTCTTGATCTTGTTTAAGTCGTTTGATGGAAATAGTACGTTTAGACTTATTTAACAGCCTAAAACATGGATACAATTTTTTTGTTCTTTTTTCTATTGATCTGGATGGTTTTGTTCTCAGTTGTTAACATAAGGCAATAATAGGATTTTAATAGCTTTTTGAACTGTTTTAACATAGTGTTAAGCCTCTGGTCGTTTGTTAATTTTCCGTAGAAATTCTTTCCGAAAAACTTCAGCAATACAAGTCCTTCCTTAAATAAAACTATTTTATTCTTTCTCAATACAACTTTGTAATACACTTAATTCCCACAGTCAGTTAACGTAAACAAACACTATAATTCACAACGACCGATTCACGCGCTTGACTCAATTGTCCGTCTCTATCTCTGTCTGCAATTCAATTCCATTGTTGCCGTCACCTCTTGGCGGTCTTATATACAAGATTACCGCACATCCAATAAACACTCGAGCATTCACGAACCTTCGAGAATATCATAACGTGTTACTAGCGTCACGTGACTTCCGCAGTCGTAACAATAGTTTTAAAATATGTATAAATAGGTTGGATATTTATTAGTCAAACAAATGAACTTAAACTTAACAAAACCTTATTATTTAGTTTTGTTTGTAGTTCGTACATACGATTTCGAGATTCTGAGACACAAGAAACTGTTGCAAATTCAAGCAATTACTGGTTATTTTATTCTTCTGATTACTTCTTTGATTAGTTCAGTATGATTTTTACTTTAGTTACATTTACTGAACAAATCTTTTAAAACTATGATTTGCTGTTGAAAGTTGTAAATACCTAGAGCCTAATCGGAAGTTTGATGATTTTCTGTTGTTAGGTTAATATTTCGCAAGATACGTTGGATAAAGTAGAAAATTACAATATTAGGTTTTAAAATTCTTATATAGCATAAATGAGAATTCAGGCCAGTAAAATTTCTTCAACTGTGTTTTAAAGGTGGTTCGCAAGTGAAGGTAAAAAAACCAACAACTGAAATTTCTTCTCTACGCAATTCTAGTTTAATGTAGCGAAGATTAATTCCTATGTTTCACTTTGTATTGTTATAGATTATACACTTGTTAATTGGATAGTAACAGTGTTTGTTTGCAATAACTGTTAACACTTAACACAGGTTTTTTCTAAATATAGACATATCAAGTTGTCATTGTGACGGTCGCTGTTGTTTGTACGTTTTGGTTCTTTTTATCTTGGACAGATATGTCTATTGCGACAAAATGTAATTATTTTCTGAACCTTCACTCAAATAAAGTCATTAGAAACTTCCTAAGTCTGTATGTTTTAGCGTGAATCCAATCAACATCTAATTGGTTTGGTCTCTCCGTGCAGTCTTCAAAATGATAAGCATATGCAAAACACAGTAAAATTATGGTCACGAAACTTTA